TCACCAAAAAAAAAAAAAAAAAAAAAAAAGAGATGAACAGGAAAAGAGCTGGTCCATTTCCTTACCTGACTGTTTTGGCAGAGGTGCTCCAGCACATTAACGTTTGAAGGTTCGGCGGCAATCACGTCGAACTCCGACAAAGCCGGACACAGACCGCTGAGATGCTGTGCGTATGCCACGTCATCCACCTTGAGAGTGATCCTCCTCAGGTGCCTGAAAGCCGGCGTGGCGGTAGCGGATGAAGCGTCCCTCTTCTTCTCCAAAAGGCAGGTGTGAAAACGCGCCCGCTCTTCCGCTCCCGGGATCGCTGACAAAGCAGAGGCCTTGTCAATCAGCGGTCGAGGAGTGGCCGATCTCCCCAATGCCACGTGGGCAAGCTCCAGCTCAGCCTCCGCCAATCCATGATAGCCTAATTTCACTATCCACCCAACAAGCTCCCGCCGAGTGCATTCATCCACGCCGGAGACCACAACGTTTAGATCGATGAACATCGGTAGATTGCGCGAAGACCGACCAATTGATGGATGGATGGATGGATGGATGGATGGATGGATTGCCTGGATTGGATTGATTGACTGGATGGGATTGATTGATTAGATGGATTGATGGATTAGTTGAAAGATTGATTCATTGCTTGAATGACTGATTGGATTGATTGGTTGGGTTGATTGATTGGATTGCGTGATTAGTGGAAAGATTGAATCATTGATTGATTGATTGATCGAACGATCGATAGATCGATCGATCGATCGAGATTAACAGTTCGATTGGTAGGCCGATGATGATTCCCTCCTGATGGATTGATTCATCGATTGATTCATCGATTGATTGATCAGACTGATTGATCGATTGTTTGATCGATCAGATGGAGTTCAATCAGTTGGGAGTTGAGTTGAGTGATGGACATTAACAACCGGCCTGTCGATTTCTGGGATCGGTCCGTCGATCAATCAATCGTGCAGAAACAAATGCAGAAGGAAAAACCGTTGTTCAGTACAAACAAGACCTGCTTGATTGATTGGTAGAGTGATTAACAATTCAATAGGTCGGGGGGATGTTTTTGGGTTTTTTGGGGGGGGAGGGGTTGGGGGAGGGTCCCAACGATTAACTAGAGGAGATGCAGACAAATTGGCCAGTTAATTGATTGATTGATAGCCTGCCGGCGGCTACCGACAGATATCTGATGATTTGGATGTGATACATTTTTCAATATTTCCAACAAGCCACTCGCGTGTTCGATCCCGAGAATTCGACACTGGATTCACGATGCACGCTCTATTTCCCATCAGAGAGCAAGCCACGTGTCCTCTGCCATTGCATTGTCGATCCGGGAGTCCGGTCGCCCAAGACCGGACCGGTCGCTCCATCGGTCGGAAGCGAGGTCGTCTGCCAAACTGGTCCTACCTGGTCGACCGGCAGGATTCCAGCCGTGGGACTCGGGACTCTGTCCCGATGCCCTGTGGGAGTCGGGACTATGTCCCAATGCACTCCTTTGTGCTTGTCCCGATGCACTGTGGGACTCGGGACTCGGGACTCTGTCACAAAGGAGTCCCAATGCACTCCTTTGTGCTTGTCCCGATGCACTGTGGGACTCGGGACTCGGGACTCTGTCCCAATGCACTCCTTTGTGCCTGACCACACGGCTCACGCAAAGAGAAAAAATTGTCCTTCGGGAGTCTGTCCCAATGCACTACTACCGGGGCTAGGTCCCACTTACACGAATTAAGCGATATTCACCGTAGATTCCAAAGATCAACGGCCAGAATCTCTTAATCAGTGCAAGTGGGACCTTGCCCCCGGTAGGAACGATACACAGAATGAAGATTAGCATGGCCCCCTCCACAAAGGATGACACGCATAAGGGCCAGATCCCACTAGCTCCTATTATTCATTTCTGACCGTTGATCTTCGTAATCGAGGGTCAAAAATGAACAATAGGGGCTAGTGGGATCTGGCCCTAAATCGAGAAAAAAACCGTACTCGAAATGAGAAAAGAAACGAGCGCTTTTTTCTTCCCACAGAAAGTGGAAACGTTCAGACGCTACTGTGAAAAGTGCTAACGAACGTACCTTGCTGTCAAATGTGGGCTGATGCACTCGTTTTTTTCGTCGTTTCCAGCGCCGTGTGGCCAACCCACCAGAATCGCGAGTGGCAAGCCACACCGCAGGCCGTCTCGCTCCACTACACAACACTGTAACGCTGTACATGCATTTGGAAGCTTAAGGGACCAGACGCATTCGGACGATTCCAACGTTGTGAATTCATCCGGTCATGAAAACGTCTAAATGCATGTACAGTGCTGTGTAGCGGAGGGCCTTACCGTAGTTGCACCACTCTCCAGCGGCCAGCATTCTGAATGCGTCCCACCAGTGTGAGCATGCCGCAGGGCGGAAAGAAAACATCCCGAAGCTGAACTGAAGTCGGTCGAAAAAAGTCGAAATCGGCGGCCTCGTTTCGGACACGGACAATCCTCCCGGCTGTCTACGTGCGCACCCATAACTTAAATGTGTCCTCGCAATCCCTTCCCCTGAAGCAGGCATCATTCTACACCTGGTATATAAACACATCGATGTCAAAAAGAAAGCATACCTTTCTCGGCCTTTTGGCTAAGATCAAGTGTAGTATCTGTTCTGATCAGTTTAATATCTGATCCGTGGTCCATCGGACCACACGATATTAAATTAATTTTTCTGGGCCACGGAGGGGTCGTACGAGTAAGCTTGCTTACTCGACCCCTCTAGTGTTGCCTCTGTATTGCACTGCAGCAGAGTGCGGCGCAGCCCTCCCCCTAGGGGGAACAATTTAAATACAAGGAGGAGTTTGTGAATTATTTCGACCGTTCTACTGAGGGGTCGGAAGGGTAAGTAGTCGAACTCCACCCCTTCGGTATGGCCTCTGTGTTGCACTATGGCAGAGTGCGGGCAGGTCTCCCCGTCGGGGGAACAATTCAAATACAAAGAGGTGGTCTTAAATTATTTCTGCTGTGCGAGTGAATTTGCTCACTCGACCCCTCAAGTGTTGTTGCCTCTGTAGTGAGCTGCAGCAGAGTGCGACGCAACCCTCCCCCTCAGGGGAAATTTAATTACGAAGCGGAGGTCTTAAATTATTTTTTATGGGCTACGGAGGGGTCGTACGGGTAAGTTCTCTTGCTCGGCCCCTCCAGTGTTGCCTCTGTATTGCACTGCGGAGGAGTGCAGCGCAGCCCTTCCCCTCGGGGGAACAATTTAAGTACATAGAGTAGGTCTGAGTCAGACTGGATGTACTGAAAAGGGAGTGCTAAGGTTGGTGTTAATGTATCGTCCAAAAGAAAGGGCTAAAGACGTGGCCGGTTAGGAGCATGCGCGAATGGCCAATGTTGCTGTTGGGGGAAAAGAAAGGGCTAAACTGTAGCCAGTTATGAGCATGCACCAATAGAGGGGTGCGGAGATTGACGTTTGCAGGATGAAACGAAGGTCAGAGAGGGGTAAGAAATGGATCCGCAGCTACTGGCGAAATGCCCGGTCTTCGCCTTGGCGGGACCCGCACCAACGGCGTCGGCCCATCTTTGGTTACCGCTGCTGTTGACGCGGGGAGCAACATGAATCCCTAATTTATCACATGTGGTTGCAGGGGTCTCCTCTATGGTTCGGTTTGCTGGCCCTGTGGAACTTCGGCGGAGTCTGTCTCCATCATTGACGGTGATCTCGTCAGCACGTTTGGCGGTGATGGAAGGCGGCGGCAGTGACGAGAGTGGGAAGCTCACGATGTCAAAGTTGGCCGCAGTGGCAGCGGTCCTTACCGCGGTCACCCACATTTACCGACATGGGTATAAACCACGTATACCCACAAGGGTATAGTGTTAGCTTAGGGATAGCCTGTGCATTGTTCATGAAGGATATGTGTTGTGGGCATTCGAGGTGGGGTGGGAGAGGAATGGGAGAATGGGGTTGGGTAAGGGGACGGAGGGTTGGTTGTAAAGATTCTGCATTGCACGAACTGAAATGGGGCGGGAATAGGATTAAAGAGTGGAGTGGGATAAAGGGGTAGGAAGGATAGATATGGGGGAAGAGGGGAGGGGTGGAGGAGGGGTTGAAGGCGGGGGGGGGATGGTTAAAGGATTGGGTCGGGGAGAGAACCAAGTGAATACGAAACCTAAGGGGACGATGGAGATGACAGTCGTGTAACTGAACATAAGCGTTGGATGAGCTAGAGAGGCAAAAAACAAAAATAGGATTGTTGATGGTATTACCTCCGGTGGGGAGTAAGGGATCTAGGGAGGGACCTAGCAGCCCTGCTCTCCCAACAAGAGGTGAGTGTGACAGCACTGACAGGGTACCTGCTTGACTCCCAGCACATCTCAATTTGGGAACATGCGGTGTCATGCACATCAATCCCTCAGGGAGACCCTCCCAACTGCCTCAAGCAAGATTTAGCAAGACTTTCAACAAAGCGTTGCCGCTTCGGTCGAGTGAGGCAGCCATACCTCTCGTAAACCCCTACGATAGGATAGGGTCACGTGAGCCTCGTGAGGTACAACTCCCCTCCACCTATGGGAGTTGTCATCATTCCGTCGGTAGGTGTATCCCTGTCGAGCCACAAAACCACGTACGGAAGTTTCTCGAGTGCAATTGCAGAGGTGGCCCGGCCAAAGGCGTTTCTCGTTCGTTGTAGCATAGGGGGTACGGGGGTTAAGGACTTAATCGAACTCATACACAAAGTGTCGCCTAGGGAGTTGATCTCCCAAGCGTGTTTCTGCTTTGATCGACACTGTTTACTACAGTTGAAACAACCTTCCACAATTTCCTTTTTTGCAACTTCAAATTTGTTTCAGTTGGGTGTTGACACTTCAGTACTATTGAATGGTGTTTACATTATTTAATGTAACACCGCAGCCACGCTGCGGCAGAGGAGAGGGACGAAGAGGGGGGCGGGGCTGTTGTCGTTACACCGCCGATTTTTTTTATTTTGCCGTCATATTCGCTATACACTAAAAAAAAAAATGATTGTGGCAGACTGTTTCCGAGTGATCAGGAGGTTGTGTGTGTGTGTGTGTGTGAGAGAGAGAGAGAGTGTGTGTGTGTGTCTCTCTCTCTCTCATCCCATCGATGGAAGTAGGCTCTCTCTGTCTGTCTGCGTGCATGGCTGAAAAACTCTCTCTCTCTCTCTCTCTCTCTCTCTCTCTCTCTCTCTCTCTCT